GAGATGTTGTAAACAAAACAAAAAAGGTGTGCCCTGGGACAGATGTACCAGCATTTATATTCTCCCAATGCGGTGGGTTTTTTTTTTTTCCTCAACAACTTTGCCTTGACTCTTCATGCTGTCTCCACTGCTGTTGTGGCTCTTCATCTGGATCAGGTTGGCCACTCCTACTTTAGTAAATGATTGAAGGATGAAATTCACCACTGTTGTAAACAAAACAAAAAAGGTGTGCCCTGGGACAGATGTACCAGCATTTATATTCTCCCAATGCGGTGGGTTTTTTTTTTTTCCTCAACAACTTTGCCTTGACTCTTCATGCTGTCTCCACTGCTGTTGTGGCTCTTCATCTGGATCAGGTTGGCCACTCCTACTTTAGTAAATGATTGAAGGATGAAATTCACCACAGTTCAGAGGCCCCATACAATGCCCTATATATCACTTTAGCCTCAGACCATGGAATGGTGCTTAAATATGGTACATGGGGCATTTTGGAAGCCTTTTCTGCAGAGTGAACTTAATAAAAAATGAATGAGTTGATATTTAATTGTAGAGTAAAACAAGAGATGGATAGTGTTAAGGATGAACAAATTGGTACTTTGGGAGCTATAAACGTTGAGGTGTTGAAGTCAAATTTATTTAAACTGAATTCTGTGATATGAAAAGAAATGTGGAAAATGTACTCTTTTGCTTGAAAATTGTATTAATATGAGTATTCTGGTGTTTATTCATCAAGATCAGTAACTTAAGTTGTGTACATTCTAGCAAAGTACAGGCAGTCCCCGGGTTACGTACAAGATAGGGACTGTAGGTTTGTTCTTAAGTTGAATCTGTATGTAAGTCGGAACTGGCGTCCAGATTCAGACACTGCTGAAACTGACCGCCAGTTCTGACTTACATACAGAATCAACTTAAGAACCCCAGGCGTCCACAAGTCAGCTGCTGCTGAAACTGATCAGCAGCTGATTCCAGGAATCCCGGGGCAGAGCAACTCTGCCTGGGGCTTCCTGTAGTCAGTGCTGGTCAGTTTCAGCAGAAGCTGACTTGGGGATGCCTGGGGCAGAGCAGCTGGGGTGCTGCTGGGTTGCAGACACCTTCTTGAACCCTCTATAGCCTAGAGCAGTAGTTCTTGAACTTTAGCAACTCGAGGACCCCCATTTTGAATTAAAACGTGTATGCACTAAGATGAATATGAAGCTCGAAACCCAAAGCCTTCAAAGATTTATTTGTTAGCTTAATCTGATGTACTATCAGGCATCCTACTGAAGTCAATGTCAGTGTGTTAAGAAAGCCTTTGCCGGTGTTTGGCCTAATACTTCTTTCTGAGGTGTTTGGTGCAAAAACATTCGGATGCTTTCCTACACTGAACATGTGTAATATAACCGGGTCTGGGAGCACCACTGAGAGGGCCAAATCAGGGTGAATTGCTTAGAAATAAGGCTACTTACAGCCCAAGTCTGGGGTCCATCCTCTATCACAACAAACACTTCAGCTGCCACTCTGGCCAGCAAGAAGTCACACAAGCAAAGCCTCAGAGGCGCGGGGAACCGCCGCTGCTGCCGCTTCAATCTGGGTGCCTGTGGTCTGCTGGCAAAGCCTCAGAAGCGCGGGAACCCGCCCGGTGCCCCTGGTCTGCTGGAGACGGTCTCCAGCAGACCAGGGGCACCGGAGCAGCTTACGAACGGGGCTTTCTCGCCCCGACTTCCGGGGTGAGAGAGCCCCGTTCGTAAGTGCGGATCCGACATAAGTCGGATCCGCGTAAGTCGGGGACTGCCTGAATTCCCTTCAGTGCTCAGTTGTGCTATATCAAATATAACTGCACTTTACAAATAATTAAAATATTTGAAGAAATTCAACTTAAATCTTTAAATTATGTAGAATTTCCATGCTTCTCCATTGTAATGTAGAACTAAGCACAGTTGTTTTTTTCTGAAAAGGAAACAGTAAAATATTTTTTATCTTAGTTATTGGAATATAACTGTATCTCACTTGGGAAGTGTAGATGTCTTCAATTCTAATACTCTGCTTTAGAAGATAAACAAGTACTTGTGCCTTTGTAGATGTATAATATTTTAATTGCTGATTTTTACTTTTAGCATTTCTCATGGACACAGGAGACCTAAGCATAAGGTCACAATTGGGTTTTATTAGTTTTTACTGTTTTACGAATGGAATTTTTCAGGTTTTTTAAAGGCATACAAACTTTTCCAGAGTACAGAAAACATGACTGGCATATTTGCTCTCAGTATACTTCGTAGGGCTCTTTTAAGGGAAACAGAAATTGAACTGGGTTTTGGCAGAGCATAGCAGTGTCAGAATTTCTTTTTGATCTAGGACCTTCTTTTTTTAGCATTTTGATGACTCGTATATCTTTCTGACTTCATTTCTTTCCATGTTGAGCAATAAAGTTTTGTGACACCTTCTGTTAGAGACTCAGAATATTAAAGTATAGTTTTTACCCTCTATAAATAAAAACTTCATCTTCCAAACAGCTCCTGTTCAATTCCGTAAACATGAAGTCATCTTCTATCATCTTCATCTCATACTTTGTGTACCAATGGTCTCACTTGCTTATTTTACATGCTCCTGACTTAATATTAATATTTTTCATTCCTGGTTGCCTGAACTCTTGATACAATCTGCCCTTCTTCTCCTGGTTCCAGGACTGCTAGAACAGTGAAGAAACCAAGGGTAGAACTGGAATCTGTAGTCAGAGTCAACAGTCAAAATTAGAAATCAGGAGCTGGATACAAGACATGGGGGAAGAAAGAGAAGGAGGTGTTGATACAGAGGCCATAGTCAGGAGCCAGAGTGAAGGGTTAAACTGAAGGTCAGGAACTGGAACAAGCAGGGTAGCCAGCAATGAAGGTTCAAGGTAAGGGGCAGGACAAAAACAAGGCATGGTGGAAGCAGGAGTAGTATAAGCTAGGTAATTCAGGAGCAGGCCATAGTAAAAGGGATGAGTGTTGAGAAACCAGTGAGCTGCAGTTGCCTGCTTTTTAAGCTAGCTTGCAGGCCTCTGCAGCCAGTCAGGTTGGATGGCTAATCAAGCAGTCTGCTACAGGCCATGTGTACTGATGAGGTAACCAGGAAACTAGTTCTGCTTCAGGCCCCGATTCTTGACAGGAAGAAGATTACAGTATCCTGCTTTGCATAAAAATACTGTACTGGCATCCTATTTTGCCTGTCTTCTGTTGCTTAGGGAAAGTTTGTTGATCAACAAAATTAGCTCTGCTATAATACAGGTATGTCTTGATTGTGAGGGTCTCTTGCAATGAATTAATTTTAATCCTGATTTACATTTTACTTCAAAAGCAGTGTTTGTTCCTCTCCTTCATTCCTATCCTTATGTATAAAATGTTTGGGTGGATGAATAAAGGGGGATATTGTTTTTCTTCCCTATGCAGTATTCAGATTTTTGGCTACTCTTAAATATAAGGTAGTATGCGTGATAACACAATGATTCAGTGTGGCACATGCTATTTTTATAATTTGTTTTTGAAGTGTTCTGCAATATCCACCAAATGTAATTTCATTATGTTAACCTATGTACAGCTTACTGGATTTGTTTTGTCTTTTATAAGCTCAGTCCATAGTGCTTCCTGCACACATGACTGTATTTCCATGCCCAGGAACTATTGAAACAGGACTATTTGCAGTGTATTTGGAAAGAACTTTACATGCTTGTTAGTGACTGAGGAGTTGTGGCAAAAGGAAGCCACAGTGCACTACCTAGATGATTGTCCACTATATATTTTAGAGAATTTATCTGTCTGTCTATTCAAAATCTCCTCCTAAACAGTAAGAGCTAGGGCCACTAAATATGGTATACAGCCTCCTCTTTTCATAACTTAAAGCAAGGTAAAGGTTTGGTTGTCATGAAAATGGCATTGCTTCTCCTAAAACCATACAGAAAAGTAATAGAATCACCAAGCAGGAGAAGGGGGCTGGCTGGGTGCCCCCATCCTTGACTGCCCCAGCCTTGAGCCTCCCACTCCCCAGGCGCCCTTTAGGAAGGGTGCGGAGGATGGAGCTCTCCCCCAATACTCCCAGTTCATATAGGAACATTGCTGGCCTTGCTCATCACAGAGCGAGGGAAAAGTGCACAGTTTGCTGCATTTCTCACTTTAGCTCGGGATTGCAGGGGGCAGACAAACCTGGACATGCCCCATGTGGGGGACATGCACCCCTCCCCCGGATGTGCCCACTGCATTTGTGGCAGCCATGTAGGCACTTTTCACCAGGCCCAAGCTGCTCTGGTGAGGGAAGATTGGGATACTCCTCTCTTCCTTGGGATGAGGGATGTTAAATTTAGATTAATTAACTAATTGAATAGTCAATGGGATTTCCATTGGCTATTTGATTAGTGTATAAGGGTGCCTCCGCCTTTGAACTGTTAGTCAAGATGTTAGTCTTGCCGGGCTGTTAGTCAAGATGTTCAAGGATGCAGTCCTATGCTGTAGTTAACCCTTTGACCACCAGAAGCTGGGACTGGATGGGGTGATCATCAACCAACATATTTCAATATGAATGGAGTTGCATACCCTACAAGAAGTAATTCAGCAAACTGAATTTATCCAGAAAACTGGCACATACAGAAAAACAATGCCAATGGGATTAAATACAGATTGGGCCTCCCCTGGACTGGCACTTTTGTGAATTCAGGGGATTTGCTGGACCAGGGGAGGTCCCTCCCCACCTGGCCCATTCTAAAATGCTGTTCCCCCGCCCCTGCAGTAAGGGTCCAGCTTGCTCCTCTGTTGCCTGGCCAGCTGTGGCTTCCTGGGCCAGAGCTCACTAGCTCCCACTGGCCCTGCTGTTGCTGCCAGGGCCAGAGCTCCCTGGCTGCCACCTGGGTGGGGCTGCGCAGCTGGGGCTGGAGTTCCACTGCCAGGGCTGTGCTAGCTGCTGGGGCCAGATCTCCCTGGTGCAGCACCGCCCCCAGGGCTCCTGGCTGAGTTGCCAGGGCCCCTCTGCCATGCTTCTGCCCGTGGCCAGACCTCCCTATACCTGGAGTCTGTGGTCTAGGTTGATCTGTGGACCAGAGATTCTTGGTTAAGGGGAGGTACAATCTGTAGTGTGATACACCCAGGTTCCGTGCTCCGGCTCTGGTTCCACAGTCAAAGATCTCAAGTCAAAGTAAGACATGAAGCTGTATACCAAATTTGGTACTAGTTCATACCATTTAGGAGTACAGTAGACTTCCGATAATCCGGCACCTTTGGGACCTAGGTGGTGCCAGATTATCGGATATGCCAGAGTATCGGTAGGTATTCCGGCAGGAGACTGACTGGTCTGCTGGGACCTGCACTGCGTCCAGGAGGTGGGAGAACGGTGCGGCGAGGCGCGAACCCTCTGCCATTTTGCAGGAAGGCGGGGGAAGACCCGCACCGCTGCTGAGAGTTTCCGGGAGGGGAGCAGGCTCCCCACCCCCCAGACTGCAGTAGTTATTGCCGAGCAGAGGGGTGAGGGGCGGCGCTGCGGGACCA